ATATTAGAGCTTCAAAAAAATTTAAAGGTATTCTTAAATATAATGAATTATTTTGTATGTTACTATTGTCTCATTTTAGAGCTAATGAAATATTAACTGATATAGAAGATAAAGGAAAAAATATTATAGATGAAGAAGAGTTGGAGGATGACTTTGACATTAATTATAAAGATTCTTCTGAAGACAATCAAAGTGATGGTGAGCCTGCTTTGGGTCTTGATCCTAAAGGGATGTTTTATTTTTAAGTGAGTTTATTTTAAATCTTGTATTCCAATAATATTATCTTAAAACAAATCTTCAAATTCATAGTTGATATAATATTCTCTTATTTTTTGTCATTATTTATAATTTTAATCGTTTTGAGACTTACGCCTCGATCCGCCTCGAGGCTTACGCCTCGCCTCGCTTAGAAGAAACGCCTCGATTCCCGATTTCGCCTTTTAAAACCTTGGTTTGCGTTAGCTAATCTGCAGGATTATTTAGAGATCAATCATTTTTTTGCTACTAATTAGGAAAAAATTATAGCTTAACTGTGCATTTTTTATTTTATAAATATACATTGGATGTGAATCCATCAAAAAGAAAACCATTGGCCCACCACTAAATAAAGTTTTTATTTCAGTGCTCTACCCATTCATTTGTTTGGGATGGGACCCATGCATTATGCTAATAATTGAGACAAGATAAATTTTGTTGTAGTAGGATAGATAGGATAACTATGAAACAACTTCTTTTTATGGTTATATAAAGCAAAAACACCAGTTAGAAATTTGAAGCACATCATTGATTCGAAAAACTCATTTTGATACACCAAGAAGAAATGCTGAAGAAAGTGAGGTTTATGCTAAAAGATAAGGTGGTGATTTGATAATACATTGTTGTGGAGAAACGGGCTTTGCAACACCACTTCAACGGCATTGAGAATACATAGAAGCAGTAGGATAAATTTTGTCGTAGCTTGCGCCGGCAGATGCATATTAAGGACCAAAGATACTTTGATGATATAGCTGGACATGATACACCACTCTCCATGATGAAGGATGCTCCTCAGCCTTACACTAGATTTGTTGGACCCTATTTGTGTCCTAAACTCCTAATTATGGGCCCTTTGAGGATATCTTTAATTACCAGATGCCAGGGGATTTGCATGCATACCTCACCTCAGATTTTGTACTAAGCACCATTCATACAATTGATATACCTCAAGATGACATTGTTGTGGAGGAACATCATGCGTTACGTGAAAGGCCTCTTCGACCACCACAGCATTACACTCTCGATAGTGATGCATTGCCCCAGAGGCCACGTAAGCGACGTTAGCTGAGCCAATGATTGTACTACATATGATGTATTTCATTATGCTTTTGTTATGGATAATGTATTTAATTATGCTTTTATTATGGATCACTATTATGGATCATATATTTTTAGTATCCTTTTGTTATGCAGTGAACATTAGGTTTTAAATTTTTATTAAGAAATCTTACTTTAAAGTCAATGCAAAATAAATAGAACTTAGTGACACAACCAAACAAACAGGGATACAAAGCTCCAAAGGAGAACTTTTATAACATATAATAAGAACAAATAGTAAAAACAATAATAAAAGGGTTTAACAATAATAGATAAAACAAACATAAAGAATTAAAAAAAAAAGATCATAACAAATATAATCAATTAGACATTTCATATTATCATGTGCAGGCAAGCTTGGAGTTGTGTCTGAGTTAGACTATATTTGAAGTTGAACTCAAAACTCCTATTGAATGTATTGCAGTATGTTGCATTCAAAAACTATTTTTCTCCGGACACCACAACTCCCATTAGCGTCTTATAGGACTCTAACGGGAATTGATCCTATCTACGATGCCACATGTGATAAAAAATACAGTGATTTACATCAACCATTGATCTTTCAACAATCTTCACAACACATCTTTCTTTGTCGCATCAAATCTCACGAATCTAGCCCTTGAGGAAGTGCAACGGAACCCAATGCTAACTATCCTCCTTGAACCTCTGTTGTAGATCTCCATCCCACATCTTTAAGATCATTATCCACTATGTACAGCTTAACTTTCATAACCTCATCATGCACATGCCACAATGCATAATCTTCATCTTCGCTCCAGAAACTCATACAACATCGAAAATATTCATTAGCTTTGGCCTTTCGTTCAAGGAATTCAATAGTAGGTAGCTCCAAACTCTCTTTCAAACGAATGCTACCATTTTTAATCATATGCTTTGTGGGAGTTGTTCGAATCAAATCCATAATTGATAAATACATTGCAAAGTGTTGTATAAAAAGTTGCATAAACTATAAAATATTTTCAAACTACTTAAACCTTGGGGGAGCCTTGCACTACATATTTATGTTGAAATAAAACAATGTTGAGTAAGAGATCTCACATTTCAATATATATATATATATAACATACAGAACTGTCATGAATATAATGATAAAAATAATAAAGATGAAGCTGACAAGACTAGCTAATGGAACAACACATCTTTATAGCTCAAGTCACATGCATTTAATTCTATCTGTCACAGCTACTTCAGTATCTAATGGCACCAAATAACTATATTTTTTAATTTTTTTAAAAAGATACTTACATTACGGTCGACTTACTTTAGTGTCCAATGGCACAAAATAGCCATTTTTTCATACTTTTTTAAAGATAATTGACTTACATAAGTTGTCAATTAATCCGATGACTTTTGTTAATCCTAATTTTCTTTATGAATAACTACTAGCTGACTCAGCCATGCCTATCTAGCATAAGTTGCCCTTGGGCGACTTTGCCTAGTTTTTAATATTTTTTTTTTTTAAATCATGCTTATACGCTTAATATAATCTTTAAATATGCTTAGTCTAAAAACTTTCTCAGCGAAAGTAAGATAGTAGTAAATTGGCCTAAACGAAAAAACAGAACAGAACAGAACACATTTTGAAGTGCATACGAATCTACATTTTCCCATCATTACAGGAACAGGGAACCAAGAAAAGCTTGTTTCGAGAAGAAGAATTAAGTAGTTGATGCGCAATTCATCTTACCTTTCCAGTTATCATTTCACGGCCAGTCATACCTCTTTTGATTAGAGCGAGCATTCTGGGCAGCGGATGAGGCCATTCTCGTTGCAGGCGGGGCAACTGCTAAACCCACTGGCCTTCTCGTTCGAGCATTTGTGGCTTCCATTGCAGATCTGACAAAGGACGAAGCGAACGCCGCCGCAGCCCCGGCAGACATCCAGGGCAGCTGAAGGAAACCCTTGGACGAATTTCTTGAGCTCACCGGTTTCATGGAGGCGCCAGATCTCTTCTGCGCCGCCGATTAGCCGGCCGCTGATGAAAACCAGCGGGAGAGTAAGCTTCTTCCGCCCGCCCAAAATTCCCTCCAATTCCACAAGGAAGCGCGAGTCCATCGAAAGGTCCCGCTCGTCGATAGCCACGCGGAAGCCACAGAGGATGTTCCGGACGGCGCGGCATTCCTCGAAGGTGCGGCGGACCACGCGTAGGCTCGTGTAGTAGAGCACGATGCGGTTGTCGCTGGCGACGGGATGAGGTAGCGGCGTCGGGGAAATCTGGCGGGAGGATCGGAAGGAGGAGGCAGCGGATAAGGTGCGACGGAAGACTGTGGATGGGGATTTTGGAGGAGTGGTGGGTTCTTCGTCGCGGAGGAGAGCTTCGATATCTTTGAAGGAGAAGGAAGCGACGGAGCAGATGGAGAGGAAGACGGAGACGGTACTGCACTTACTTCGACGGATTTTGAGCCACGGAAACCACATCGGCGCTTGATCGACCAAAAGATCGTGATGGAGATCGATCGAGAGGTGAGCGAGAGGAAGTGGAACAGTAAGAGCAAGATAGTGAAGGAACTTCGTTTAAATGGCGATTGCTAATTTCACCCACGGAATAACGAGGAACTCGTTTCCTAACTTGGTTGACGGTACGCACGGCGACGAAGGACCGGTATTTTCTAAGAAAAGTGAGAGTGAGAATAGTTACCTTTTGATCCTTCATTGTTTTTTATTTTTTATTTTTAGCCTATTTTTAATTGTTAAAGACAAACGGCGTTAGAACCTCTGCTCCGCCACGTTCAGCGCAAGACCCGCCGAATGTGGGATTATGGGAAACTTGCACGGTTTGGCATCGGACGGAGCCTTCAAATTCAAACTTGAATTTTTTTTTAATAAATGTCTGTTATTAAAAATTAGGTTAAGGTTTCTTGTAATCGAAGAGTTTACTTTTTCTCTTTTTCTTAGGTGTAAGAGAGTGTGATTGTAATTGGGTAATCGTACACACACAAACTATGGGAGTGAGTCAAAACTTGTAATTATAAAACTAATCATTATATACAATTATTGAATTGTACTGGACAATTTGTCAAGAGTGTTCCTCCAGAAAGAAGTTAATCGAATCATACCTTAGAATTTTTCGATTGAACTGTTCGTATTGTATGAAGTTAGATTCATACAGATGACGTCCAGAGTACGAAATTGATACGTACCAGTTCTTCCCAAACGAACTCACCATTTTCTAAACTAATTGAGATGTACAAAATTAGTTTCATACAGATGACTGTTCCTCCATAAAGAAGTTAATCGAATCATACCTTAGAATTTTTCGATTGAACTGTTCGTATTGTATGAAGTTAGATTCATACAGATGACGTCCAGAGTACGAAATTGATACGTACCAGTTCTTCCCAAACGAACTCACCATTTTCTAAACTAATTGAGATGTACAAAATTAGTTTCATACAGATGACGTCCAGAGTACAAAATGGGTGCATACTAAAAGTTCGTTAGGGATGTTAGGCCCTATAGAACTGGCCCAAAGCTAATTAAAAGAGAGAGGTGAATTGAAAAACTTTAAAACCAAAGATAAAACTCCAACCAAAATCACCACAAACAAAGTGTGGAAGAAACATAAATGCGGAAGCGATAATAAGAAAAGAACACACCGGATTTATAGTGGTTCGGTCAAACCTTGACCTACGTCCACTCCTTGGAGCCACTCTCCAAGTATTGCACTAAAATGTGGCTCTTCTTTAACCCCCACAGCTAGGCGGAGAAGCCTTTACAAAAATCACTTCCACCTTTCTCGGTGCGGCGGAGTCGTCGGGTCCTTTGACACCAAAGAGATCTTCTTCTTTGGTGAACTTACCTCGAGACAAGCCTTGAATCTGATGGTACTAAGGTGCGAGTTCGCCGGAGCAACCGTGTCCCCCACCACACTCCCTTGAGTTCCTCCCCCTCACAGGATCTTCTCCCTCTCAAACTCCACCCTTTCCTCTCTCCCTTTCAAGTTCTCTCTTAAAGTTTCCCCCA